GCATTTTTATTTGTAATGCAATGCATGCATCCTAGAGATTTTGATACATTGTACTAAATGAAATAACAATATTCCATTGAAATATTATAAATTTTATACCTAATATTGATAAAGTATGAAGATTATAAAATATTTCTAAAGTGGTAAGATATCAATTCTAATACAAAATAAAATAAATTTAAAGGTTAAATTTTATCAGAGAACAGTGAATATGCTAACTATTGATATGGAATATACAGCTATAAATACATGGCAGCGTCTACCAGTTAATACCAAATCATATTTTATTCGTTTAAAGATTCATAAAAATGGCGAGAAAAAACAGAGGTCGCCAGAAAATTGAGATGGTGAAAATGAAAAATGAAAATAATCTTCAAGTTACTTTTTCAAAAAGAAGATCTGGTCTTTTCAAAAAAGCTAGTGAACTTTGCACACTATGTGATGCAGAAATTGTTATCATTGTGTTTTCACCTGCTCGAAAAGTCTTTTCTTTCGGTCATCCAAATGTTAACGTTTTAATTGATCGTTTCTTAAACTTTAACCCACCCCATCCTCACCAACACAACAATATTCAGCTTAATGAAGCCCGTCGAAACGCTATCGTTCAAGATCTCAACAATCATCTCACTCAGGTAATTTTACATCTTTATTTTTGTGTTTATCGTGTGATTTAAATAACACTATAACTTTATATAATATAATCTATGTACAATATGTTTAAAAAAAATCAATATACTATAAAATAGTATTGTACATTGATTTTTTTGAGGTGAAAATCAATATACTATAAAATTACCGGGCTATACTCAACTTTTGTTGTTGTTAAAGTATTGGATATTTGAGGTAACCAAGAAAAGTAGTGGATATATATGTACATAATATTTGTCTTACTTAGCTAATAACATAAACAAAACATTGGACGATTGCTTTGTGTCCAAAAGTGCAAACATTTGCTGGTTATAAGTTTTTACTAATTGCTCGATATAAACTTATACTCCCTCTATTTTATAATATAAGTTGTTTAGATTATTATTTTTTTTTTTAAATATTAGTTATTTTTACAA